TGGAGGTTCCTCAAAAATTTAAAAATAGAGCTACCCTATGACCCAGCAATTGCATTACTAGGTATTTACCCCAAAGATACAGATGTAGTGAAAAGAAGGGCCATATGCACCCTAATGTTCATAGCAGCAATGTCCATAATAGCCAAACTGTGGAAGGAGCCGAGATGCCTTCAACAGAATGGATAAAGAAGATGTGGTTCATATATACAATGGAATATTAGCCATCAGAAAGGATGAATACCCACCGTTTGCATCAATATGGATGGAACTGGAGGAGATTATGCTATGTGAAATAAGTCAAGCAGAGAAAGACAATTATTATATGGTTTCACTCATATGTGGAACATAAGGAATAGCATGGAGGGCATTAGGGGAAGGAAGGGAAAACTGAAAGGGGGAAAATCAGAGGGGGAGAGGAACCATGAGAGACTATGGACTCTGGGAACAATCTGAGGGTTTCTGAGGGGAGGGGGGTTGGGGAATGGGGTAGCCCAGTGATGGGTATTAAGGAGGGCATGTGTTGGGATGAACACTGGGTGTTATATGCAAATATTGAATTAGGGAACACTACATCAAAAACTAATGATGTACTGTATGATGACTAATATAATAAAAAAAAAACCCTACTACTCTGAAGTAGGTACTGTGGCTACTTGAGGGTAATGGAACAGAAGCACAGAAAGTATCTAACTCACCCTACATCATCACATAGTAACAGAGCTCTAACAGAGACAGAGCTCAAAGTGAGACAATAAGATTCCAGCACCTACGTTACCTCCTACCATCTTCTATCCCTCAGCCTATAACTGTGCTCAGCTGATCTGAAATCAAGGCATCCAGTTTCCAGAGCATAAAAATTTATCTGAATAATTGACTTATTATTTTCCACTCTGCCTCTAAGTCTTGTGAGGCTGGTCATTCATGTCACTCTGTTTTCTGAAGGATAATTGTCCTTCCTCCTACAGAAGGGCAAGGCTACACAAGACCGTGTTTGGGGGTTGCTCTTACAAAGGCACTAATGGAAGGATAACTTTATTTGAGTCAATGTGAATATCTTCCTAAGTTTCAAAAGAGCCGGGAGAATAAATAAGCAGTTTCTAAAGGCAAGAAACTTCATTAGTAGATTTGACTCA